CAGACACACACCACGCACACACACACGCCACTCACACGCCACGCACACACACAAACAGACACACACACACCACGCCCACGCCACGCACGCACAGCGGCTTCCGCTACGAGAGAGAGTGAGCGTGCGTGCGGAGAGCAACAGTGCAGTGTAAAAGTCTAGACCCATCTACCTTGGGCAGAGAAAGCTGCGCCTGAAGTGCAATCTGTGCGCGGCGGCCGCCAGCGGGCCGGAGGCGCGGGATAGTGCGGAACGGTAATTCCCCCTGGTTTGACACGCTTCGAGACTAGCGGGATGCGGCTGATGCCGATGGTGGCGCAGAACGGGAGAAAGAGGGCAACCTGGCAGGTAGGCTACTCCAGCGCCAGGCAGGCCGCACCTTGAGCAAAAAAACAAAACTGGGCTAGGCAGTGCAGTGCTCATGCAGCAAAACCGCCATCACCTTTGACCCCATCACGTTACGTTACAAGCGCTTAACCTTCAGACGCCCCCTCAAGGTCAGTTGAGTGTGAAACGCAATCCAGCATTAGGCAACTTCACACGCAAGCCGACGTTCCGACGACGCAATTCGATTAAGACGTAGCGCCGCCTAGCGTCGCTCACACTGCTGAGCACCACAGCGGCACGCACGAGCGCGACCGTGGCCTCCCCCTGGGAGAGGGACGGCGCCGTGAGTTTAGCGGAATCAGGGCGGTCGCGAACGTGGCTCCTGCGTGTGATCGACACACACCGACCAATATTAAGCTTAATCTCGGGCCTTCCGAAACTTCTACTATCGCCGACGATGCGCTTACGTGAAAAGGCGTGTGTAAAAAAAAACTCCAGCGGCGGCGGAAAGTGTGTTACATGTGGTTACGTGCATCGAATGGGTCGGAACAGCCGCCCCCTCTCACCGCGAGCACGAGAAAGCCGAGAGAACAAAGAGAACGTAGGACGATTATACTTGCATGTGCGAGGCCATCATCTGCCCCGGCGGCAATCTTGCGTGCGCTGGCCGGGCCGTCCCATGTATGCTCCCTGCGGGGCTGCATGCCGCCGGGATGGGGCGTAAGCCCGCAGGCATTCCGTTCTGCTGCGGGGCGCTGCGTGCGTACCCCGCGGGCGGGCGTCTGGGCGACGTGGGCGTAGCCCACGGCAGGCCCCCGTTTGCGGCCTGTGAGCGTACGCGCGTCGCGGGTGCGGGCGCCATGCCTACACAGGTTAGAGAGAAGAAAAAAATACAGAAACAAACAACAACGCAAGAGGTGATAACACATCAAAACGGCAAAAACCTCAAAACTGCATGCTATGCCGTTCATCGGTGCGCGGGGTCGGCGACGCGACGCTCGCGCGATCAGCCGACGAGCGTGAAATAAATCGCCACCCCGGCGACAACCGTCACCCACGTCACACCACGTCAAATATCATCGCTGCCTCTTCAGTGCGCAGGGTTGAAGCCACCTCCGATCCTAGCCGACGCATGCAGACATGTCATGGCGGTAAACGCGTGCCTCGCGCAATGCATTTATGCAAAACTACCTGACCACTCCCTACCCACCTCTTCTCCCAGTCTTGCAGTTCCGCCCCGCCGCGCGCCATACCCTTGTAGCGCGCGGCGGTGCCATGCGCGGCCACCAAGGTTGCCCGCGGCGGATCCCCCTCCCTTCTCCTCTCTCGGCCTCCCAGCACGCGACATACCTATGTAGCTGCGCGGTGGCTGCGTGGGGCTGCCCGCGGGCGGCCTGCAGCCGTTGCTGCCCCGCCTTCCACCCCCTGCCCCTCCCCCTCCCCTTCCTGCCACCCCCCCTCGCGTACCTCGGCGGCGTGCCGGAGGGCTGCGCGCGGCGCGCTGCAGGCGGGCGCGCCACCCAGGCTTGCCCAGGCTGACTGCAGGTTGCCTTCGCCTGACCGGCTAGAAGTATGACGGCTGAGCCCCTGCCGCGTAGTTCACGCAGCGCCGCAGTTCGTGCACGCTATGTGCCGTGTCCTTCACTTGCTTCATGATGCGCTGGATGTTCGGAACGGCCTGCCGGAAACACGGCCGAAGCGTCAGCTTGAAGCGTCGAGGCCAACTGGAGCGACGCACACACGGACCAGTCTGTCGCGCGCGTAACAACCAGGAGTTGTTGTCAGAAACATTATTATAGTCTTAATGTGAATTTTGTTATTTTTTATATTTGGGCTGTTAAAGTAGTACTTACGCATAACCTCTCTTGATTCTCTGGCAGTCCTTCCAATAACACAGGTACTCGTTTTCTGAGGGAAAAAACACATAAAACAGTTGCTCACCGAATAGAAAACCTGCGGGAGGTATGACATTATGACCTATGACAGAAAACCTATGACACGTCACTTTACAAGTTACTGGCTTTAGCCATTTTACCGACCTTTTTTTAAAAATTTCATACATTATACTTTCATGTTCCAACACCACGCTGTGCCACACCACACCACACCCTGCACCCTACGCTGCGTCCTGCCCCGCTACATCCCATGTCACGCCGGCCTACAACCCAACGCTCACACCCACGAGCCCACGCCACTGCACCCTACGCTGACCGCTCCTCTCCGCTCCATCCCCATGTCACCGGCGCCCGGGGCCGGACCAACACGCCACACCAGCGGACCCCCACACCCCTGCGAGCTACGCCGCTGCCTCCTGGCGCCCTACACCCATGTCACGCGCCCCGCACAACGCCACCACGCCACCCACCACACCCTGCCACCCAGTACGCGCGTCCCCTCGCGCTACATCCATGCCTGCACGCGCCCGCACCCGAACCGCACAACTCACACCACACCCCTCCGCCACCCTACGCGCGTCCTGCGCTACATCCCCATCGTCACGCGGGCACAACCATACGCCCACACCACCACCGACACCTGCACCCTACGCTGCTCCTGCGCGCTACATCATGTCACCCGCGCCGCACCAACGCCACACCACACCCACGCACCTGGCACCCTTACGCTGCCATCCCTGCGCTCTACATCCACTGTCACGCGCCGAACAACGCCACACCACACACACCCCCACCCTCTACCCCCCCCCCGCCGCCCCCCGTCTAGCGTCCTGCGCTACATCCCATGCTCACGCGCCGACAAACGCCACACCACCACTCACACCCTGCCACGCTACGCTGCGTCCCTGCGCGCGACACTCCATGCTCAGCGCGGACAAACCACACGCCACACGCACACCACCACCCGCACTCCTCACCGCTGCCGTCCTGCGCTCACATCCCCATGTCACGCGCAGCAACCCAACGCCACCACCAGACCCACACCCGCACCCTACCGCTGCCGTCGCCTACCGCTACATCCCATGTTCACGCCGACCAACGCCACACACATGCTACCCAACGTCCCTCCACACACCGCATCCCGCTGCCCCACCCTGAGCGCCACGCGCCCAACCCGCGCCCCGCGCCCTCACGACCCACCCCGTGCCGCACGCTTACCGCCCGCCACGTCCCACCCGTGCTCCTGCGCACCCCACACCGGTACCCCCCCGCCGCTTGGCGCCTATGCCCCAACCGCGTTCCTGCCCACCCCCGCAGCTCCGCACGCCCCACCCTGCTGCACCGCTCACCCCGCCCCACCGCCGCGTGGCTGCGCCCTCAGCCCCCCACCCGAATCCTGCCCCCGCCCCGCGCCCAGAACGCTCCTAGCTACACCCACACCCACAGCTACAGCTCTAGCTACACCCACACCCACAGCTACAGCTCTAGCTACACCCACACCCACAGCTACAGCCACGACCGTGACAGTAACGTCGACGCTACGGTGGCGGCGACGGGGTATGCACCTTCTGCGGCACGACGGCCTGCCTGAAGTAGTACGTCTCGTCGTCGGTGACGCTCGGCGACACCTTCGCGCCGCGCTTGATGCCCTTCAGCAGCTTGCGTATGAGCCGCTCAGCCTCCTGGTAGCGCGAGTCGCACACGTACACGTCCTGCTCACTCACCTCCGTCGGACGCACTGCAGCGACAAACACAAGAACATCCATCCCGGCGTGAGCACGCGTAACTGATGCGTAACATGTGATAGCGTATATAATGACGTTATATAGAATAGGGCTATTTATATATATATATATATATTCACACATATATTGAGATATATTCATACAGATAAATAGTTAGCACAATAGGCATCACTGTCTCCGCCCCGACCTCGTCACCCCAATCCCGCACCCGTCACCCCACCCCCGCACCCGTCACCCCGCCTCCCCCGCACTCACGCCTCCCCGGCACTCACGTGTTGTGTAGTCACGGTAACTGAGCACGCAGCACTTGCCCGTGATGCTCAGCATGGGGTTCGTGTCCTCGACGGAGCTGAGGAACACCTCTCGCTTGTAGAACATCTTCGTCGGCTCGTGGTCGACCTCCGCCGGGTGGATGAACCACGGCCCGTGGAAGTAGGGGTCGCCGCTGTCAACGACAATACGACGATGCGATGATGACGATGTTACCGCGAGAACGATGTCACCGCAACAATGTCCCCCCATATATATGCTATAAATCTACTCAAAAAACCGTCTACTACTGAAAAAGCTTCGTTACACCGCGGGCGATACAGTGGCAAGATCGACTAATGTCCAGGGGCCCGTTGTCAGAAACAAAATTTGTCTTAACATTAGTCTTAACATTAACAATTTCTCCTAGACCGTTGACATCACTTTGTTTCGTATTGTTATGAGGAAATCTGCTACGATTTTTCATTCTCGTAACTTCGCAGCATTTCTGTCAACGGTCTAAGAGAAAAAGTTAATGTTAAGACTAATGTTAAGCCCAATTTTATGTCTGACAACCCTAACCCTAACCCTAACCCTGGTTGAACGTGATGAGCACATTTATACACACGTGCCCACTTGTACCTCACGCAGTATCCTACCCGCAACTAATCTTTTATGTGAAGCTAGACTTTCAAAAAAACCGTTGTATGCACGTTCGAAGAAATCACACGTAACAACGGCATGTCTTCAGAGTAGTGGCACGATATATATACACACAGTCAACTCTCAAGAGGGTTGACTATACTCTTATATATATAACTCTCCCTCTCTCGCTTTCTCTCTCTATCTCTCTCTCTATATACAGGGATGGGAATGACAATTTGTGTTTTCAGCTGAAAATAGCCGGGGTCCAGCGGTGGAGGGGGGGGGGCGGTCAGGTCCAGGGCAAAGCCTGGTCAGGGGGTTCAGGAAGTTTTTAAATTTTCACAACTTACAAGGCATAAAATTGCATTAGGAGACACATACAGAACAGAATTGTTACAGAGCATATTACATTTACAATTACAGTACACTGCAGGGAGTATATCTTGCACTGTCATTATCATAACACACCAGAATTAATAATCAATACAAATATTTACTTACATTCTGCAAACAAAATTATTTTAATGTACACTTCCACACACACTGTCCCAAAAGCTAACCTTTATATAATATAAGATGTTTATTGT